GTCTAGGGGCTGTTTGCCTGCTCTCGCTCTCTCTCTCTCTCTCTCCCTCTCTCTCCTTCCTCCTTCCTCTTTCTCTTTCCTCTCGAAGGGTGTCAGCTGAGAGGGAAGGAGAGAGCAAAAACCAGAGAGGAGAGGCTCGGTGGGCCGCTCAGCTGATTTCTTTCTAATTCGGGAGGGGTGGGTGGGGGTGCTGTATATTTGGGCCCCTGGACTCTCTGTTGATGAAGAAGTGATGTCTTGGGGGGGGCAGTGTTTGTGGTGTTTGGAGGGGGGTGTTCAATGGACTGCAGGATAAATTGGGTAGAATGGAGAAAATAAAATGCTGCAGGATGCAATATAGCGATGCCTCCAGGTGCTAGGGACACCGGACCCCTCCTCCCCTATGACATCATGTGAGCTTCTGCAAAAGGGGCTGGGGAGGTGGAGGTGGGAGGGACAGAGGAGAGTGGCAGCAAAGGGGGGGAGGTGGGGGGGGCTGGTCCCCATTCAGGACTGGGAGGGGAGCTGAGCTAAGAGTAGAAGGTGCAGGGCACGCCAGCCCTTCTCTTGGCCGCCTCAAGAGGCACCTGCCGGTCTGGCGTCACCGCGGCTGCGGTTTGCAGCTGGAGGGCTGGCTGCCTGCGCAGGGAGCCCGGAGCTGGAGAACGCGGCGCGGGCGGTAGGTGGGAGGCAGTCGCTCCGGCGCTGGGGGGGCCGCAGCCTCTCACCTCCTCCACCCTTCGCGTTTTCTTGCTTTATAAACTCAGGTTTCTTCTTCTCACTTCCACTCATCACCCCTCCTCCAAAACAGTCGCGTCCCCAAGCCACACACACACACACACACACACACACACATTTTCTTATTGCCAAAAAGGACGGAAGGAAATGATAGGAGGGTTGTTGTTTGTTTGTTGTTGTTGTTTTTTGTTAAGTAGGATAAAGGCTGAAATTAAGTTTTGCTGGACTTGGAAGGGTTAAATAATAGGTAAAAAGAACTAGCAACTTACCGCCAAAGTATGCTGACACGCAGAGCTGCTCTCCGCTTCACTCAAGTTCATACATTTAAAAAAGAGAGAAGGGCGGGGGAGAGGCCAGCCGGCCAGGCGCACGGTGGGTCCGGGGCTCCCCTGGGAACTGCGCAAAACAAGTTGCCAAGCAAGGCCGGCGGCGCAAGTTGGGGGCCTCTCTCTCCTAGGATGCTCGCCTCTGCTCCGCTCAGCAGGCATATTCCAAAGACTGCCGGCACTCTGGATTTCGCACGGATCTTCTCGGAAAAGGGGGAGACAACTCTAAACGGTGTGTGGCATTCCTTTTTCCCTCCTCTCCATTGGGGGGTCTCGAGAAAAGCCGCGCTGAGCGCTCTGGGAGCCCATGAAGACCAGTCCATTTCAGCTCGTCCTCCCTGCAGCCGCAACTTTGGACCCGCGCAGCTATAGATCATGAGTGCGAGTGTGCGCGCGTGTGTGCGCGTGTGTGCGCGCGCGTGTGCCGGGGTATGTGCCCGCGCGCCCTGGGCATCGGGGTGCATGTGTTCTCGGGAACGACTCTCCCTGGCTGCCTGGAACTTGGAGAGTTTTCCTTTAAGCCGGCACTGCTGCCCGGACACCCCCCGCGTCCAACAGGAGGCGATGACGTCTGTAGCCTCGTTGCCAGACAGTCCCCGGGCTGCCGCTGCCGTTCATTGACAGGAGCGGGCGCTCCGACGTCAGCAGCCGGACCTTTGGCAAGGCTGCTCCGGC